CATAGGAGCTCCACCGAAGGCGCCAGTGGCAGGGTTCGCACGGCGGCCAAGTTTCGGCACACCCCTCACGAGGATCGTGGCCCCATAGGAGCTCCACCGAAGGCGCCGGCAAAGTTCGCATGGCGGCCTCGGGTCATTTCGGCACATCCCTCACGAGGATCGTGGCCCCATAGCAGCTCCACCGAAGGCGCCAGTGGCAAAGTTCGCACGGCGGCCTCGGGCCATGTCAGCACACCCCTCACGAGGATCGTGGCCCCATAGGAGCTCCACCGAAGGCGCCAGTAGCAAAGTTCGCATGGCGGCCTCGGGCCGTTTCGGCAAAGCCCTCACGAGGATCGTGGCCCCATAGGAGCTCCACCGAAGGCGCCAGTGGCAAAGTTCGCACGGCGGCCACGGGCCATTTCGGCACACCCCTCACGAGGATCGTGGCCCCATAGGAGCTCCACCGAAGGCGCCAGTAGCAAAGTTCGCATGGCGGCTTCGGGCCATTTCGGCACACCCCTCGCGAGGATCGTGGCCTCATGGGAAGCTCCAGCGAAGGCGCCAGTGGCAGGGTTCGCATGGCGGCCCCGGGCCATTGCGCCACACCCCTCACGAGGATCGTGGCCCCATAGGGAGCTCCACCGAAGGCGCCAGTTGCAGGGTTCGCATGGCGGCCTCGGGCCGTTTCGGCAAAGCCCTCACGAGGATCGTGGCCACATCGGGAGCTGCACCGAAGGCGCCAGCGGCAGGGTTCACATGGCGGCTTCTGGCCATTTCGGCACACCCCTCGCGAGGATCGTGGCCCCATAAGGAGCTCCACCGAAGGCCCCCAGTGGCAAGGTTCGCATGGCGGCCTCGGGGCATTTCGGCACACCCTTCACGAGGATCGTGGCCCCACAGGAGCTCCAGCGAAGGCGCCAGTGGCAGGGTTCGCATGGCGGTCCCGGGCCATTGCGGCACACCCCTCACGAGGATCGTGGCCCCACAGTTGTGCCGCTTCAACAACCGCGCCTGGGCGCCGTACTCCGCCTTGTCGACGTGCAATGCCGCCTCCTCTCTCATGGCTCTCAAAGCCCTCTCCTGCTTCTGCTTTTCGGTCAGAGGGACACCGTCCTTGTCGTCGTCGGCGCCCGCGAAGACGGCCACGAACGTGTTCCTGAGCATGTCGGGTTCCGGCGGGAAGCCGTGGCCACATAGGGGGCACGGGCGAAAATGGTGTTCACAATTGCGGTATCCACAACTGCATATGGTTGGGTCCTTCGCCAGGCTAATTTTCTGGACACCCTCCGCGCCCGGAAAAGAAACGCCTTACCTCCTCCCTTCCGTTGTTCTTCATTCACTCACTCGCACACTCATCATCACCATCAGCATCATCATCATCATCATCATCACCGCCATCATCATCATCATCATCATCATCAGTTTCATCATCATTCACACTTTCATTCGCTCGCTCACTCACCATGATCGTCACAATCTTCATCAGGGTTCCCGAAGCTTGAACGTTGGGGAAGTCTCAGGCGGTGGATCCGTCCGTGAGTGACTTGCGAAGAAGTCCCGGGCGGAACCCCCTTCCCTATTTGACCAGCAGGTCACGTTACTAAGCCCGAGCGGGTAATCCGAAAACTATGCCAGGTTTAGCATCTGAGCACCCCTGTGAGGACAAATCGTGAGGATGTCTCGAGCGGGTGCTTGTCTGTGAGTGATTCGCGAGGAGCGGGAGCCACGTTCTTAGGGGCCCGTACTTTATGTGATTAATCAGGAGCGGCCATCGTACAATTGGACCAAGCATAGCAGTTGAACGCCCCAAGGGGGCAAGTCGTGAGGACGTTTCGAGCGGGGCCGTCGTGCGTAAGTGAATCCGGAAGAAGTCTCGAGCGGGAGCCTTGTTCTTATGAGGCCCACGTTTCATGCTATTACAGTCAAGCGTATGATTAAGGAACCTACCGAAAAGTTGGGCCAGACGCTGCGCAATGGCGTCACCATCGACATCGCCAGGGACGGGGACGCTGGCCGCACGGGCGTGTCGGACTACCACTAGTGGCTGCATTTGTACGTCATGTTTTCCCGCGTCACGTGAATGCGGCCACCCACGGGAGAGAGAGTTCCTGGAGCGAGGGCCGCCGGCGTCATTGCAGAAACCGGTCCTGGAATTCGACATGAGAGCGGAGAGCTCCAGGGCAGAGGCGGAACAACTCGCAGTGAGGCTGGGCTTCGCGCTGCTTCCCGCCCGAGCGCGGCGGCGCCCCATTCGAAACCCGCGGAATTGTCTCAGCGGTTTGGTTTCGCGCCCCAGCGGCCCGTGGGGTTGTTCCGTCGGCGTGCCCCGCGGGGTTGCCCCGGCGGTTTTGCGACCTGTCCGCCGGAAAAGGCGCCCCTGCTGGCCAAGGCGGCGACGGCGCGCCCGTGCAGAAAAAACGGCGGTGGTGGAGGGGGGGAGAGGCACGAGAAGGAGGCAGGGGGCAAAGTAAGGGGCGGGAGGAGAGCCTCCGCCAGGCGAGAAAGATTGTTTCAGGGCAGACAGGAGGAGAGCTTTTGCAATTACAAAGACGACGATGTGGATTACTTCCAGATGAGCCGAGAAATGTCTCATGTGGGGTCCTACCGTCGGAATCAGTTTCATGCGAACGACGGGAAAAAACGGGGTCGTCTGCGCCGACATTGGTGCGTAAGCTGCCCGCGTAAGGTGGCGTGTAAGCGCCTTTGATTCAAATGTGGCGTGCCGCGCGGGCGGCCCGCGTAAACCACCGCGTAAGGTCGCTACGCCATCTCGCGTTGAGCTCCTTTCAGGTCGTCGCTCATCTGTGTTTGGCAAGCTTCACGCGCGCGGGGCGCACGCGCGCGCGTGTGGATCGTGTTGTATCACGCGCCCAGGAATATGATAACGCATTATTTAGATCAACGCGCGTGTACTGTATGGTGTCCGTTGTCAGCGGTAAACGGGGGAACCCATACCTGCGTTGATTGGATTGTACCATTGCGCGTGTGGGTAAGACGGTTTCTCCAGCTTCGGTATGGGAATACCGTGTATTTGTGTGCGGGCGAAAAAGATCTAAGGAGTGACCTTGTCATCTATGTTTCATTGTGGCCTTTGTCGCGGGACCACCCATGTTCGAATAAACGTCCCACCCATCCGCAAGTAGCTGGCAAACATCGGCGTGTAGTTGCCCATCGAAACTTGTTCAACAATCTCTACAGGCGCAGTGGCGTGGGGATCCTCCTCTTGCAGGTCCACGATTCGGTTGAGCGAGTGATGATGGTGACGGCAACAGAGGCGACGACGATGATGACGATGGTGCTTGTAGTTGCGAGGATGGCCAGGGTGACGACAACGGCGATCGCGATGATGATGGTGATGGCGATGGTGGCGATTATGACGACAACGATGGAGGTTAATGACGGTGATGGTGATGACAATGATGACGATTGCGATGATGATGGCGATGGCGTTGATGAGGATGAGAAGGACATGCGCGTGCGCAGGAAACTTGGCAAGACGTTTTTCAGTTCGCAGCCATATGGTGTTTTGTGAACATGGTGCTGAACGCATGTATCTTGAAATGCTTTAACGGCCGATGGTTGTACAATTGTGCGAAAGCTTGACATGCGCGCGCTGACGCGCGCGTGCGCCTGTGCCACATGGTATTGTTTGTCATCGTTGGCGGGTGCGCGATGGTTGTTGAATTTTGTCCTCAAGGTGGGTGTCACGGCGGGCCCCAAGGAAAGCTCGCTTGAAGATTTTGCAGTCAGTGGGTGTCAGGGGTATGGTTTCGACGAGGGTCGGTACCATTCGTTTCATTTTGTTCGGGGCTATTTTGACGCCCCGTCAGCTTGGCAGGCGGTCTTAGGAGCCACGGGACGGCGTTGGGTGGTTTATGGGCCACGAAGTGCGTGAAGGGTGTGCCGGGTCGGAGCTCCTTTGAACTGTCTGAGGGATCAGTTGAGTGCCCCTGTGAGTTCATGGGGCACGAAGAGCGTGATCGGGTGTGGAGAATGGAGGCTCCGTTCGGCCGTCTGGAGGGCCAGCAGAACGCGACGTCCATCAGCATCTTCATTCATATATTGCTATCTGCGCGTGTAAAGCCAACGGCAGCTTGCTAGAATCGCCAGGATACAGTCAGACGTATCTACGCGCGACGGTTGGGTGCACGAATCGCTTGGCTTGCAACATATGTCGTCGATCTTTTACAAGTGAAGCAAGCTTCTGCAGCATTGAGAAGCAGTTGCGCCCATCATTCGCAACCAACAACAATGATGAGCAATTACGCCTGGGTCACCTGCACGCACATTGAAATCAACATGTGGTTTGACATCGGCCACAAGAGACACTCACCCACGTTTGTGGGATAAGCAAACACTTCAGCCACGTTGAGTGTACCCATCGCGTATATCAGCTTCACAGACACCCAGCTGTGTTTCTTCCAGCTGGTATACGTGTCTGTGCCATTTACGCTACGCCTTTAACACGCCTCCCAAAAGCCTCCCACAAGCCTCCAATGGGTATCCCAAGAGCATGGCTGAAGCATCCCGCAGGCTCCTCGGAAGCGCCTCCGAAGCCTCCCAGAAGCTTTTCAGATGCAGGCGCTTCTGATATGCTCATCAGATGCGTTTGCGCCCCAGACGCTTTGACTGGGGCCTCCCATGAGTTTTTTCTGTGACAGGTGCTAGCGTAGGCTTTGAATGCGTCTCGCATTAACTTTGGCGAGGCCTTTCATAATGCTGCCATAATCCCTGCAGTGATGATCTTACGCGAGTGCATTGCACGAGGTTGCAATCAAGCCGTTCCAGGTGTTTGCAGCGCGTGTCAGGTCTGTAGTTCGGGAACAAAGCGAGGTATGCGCAATCGGTCTTAATCCTTCTTGTCCGCGTTCTCTTCCTCTTCCCCGCTTCCCTCTCCCCGGTTCCCTCCCCCTCAACCCCGCCCCATCCCCTCACACACGACCTTTTCCCTCCTTCTCTCCCCTTCTCCTCGCCCACCCCCTTCGCTTTCCTCCTATCCGTCTCCCTGCCCCTCCCAGGCCTCAGGCGTGGCTACCAAGACCGATGGCGACACCAAGTGGGTCTTGTTCCCTCAGGAGGACGGGCTGCTTCGTGTACATATAGGTATTTGTGTACATATCGGTATCGGTTTATATCTATAGTTACGCTCTCACACCTGTGTGCATATGTAAATGTGTATGTATATGTATATGTATATGTATATGTATATGTATATGTATATGTATAGGTATAATTGTATGTATATGTATATGTATATGTACATGTACATGTACATGTACATGTATAGGTATATGTATATGTATATGTATATGTATATGCATATATATATATATATATGTACACGTGTATGTGAACAAGACAGGTACGTGCATATCCAGACATTTATACATGTAAAGATATACAGACACATATCTGTATACGTATTCCCTTTGGCTCAAGGGCTTCGCCCCTTTGGCTCAAGCAATTTAGGCTCACGCTATTTTGGCTCAAGGCTCAAGATGGCTCAAGGTGGCTCAAGGTCTTGTCAAATTACCAGGGGCCCTTGTCAACTTACCGGGGGTCCTGGGCAACTTAAAGACCTATACATATCTACAGCATTTCTTTTTGCCATGTCCGAAACGGCCGCTGTAATTGCGAAAGGTGGAGGCCGAAAGCTCAAGCCTCAGGGCAGTTGCCCGCAGGCTCCGGACAGAAAGCAGGCGAAGATGGAGGACGCGAAGGAGAAGGGTGACAAGAAGAAAGTGGAAGAAGAAGAGAAGGAGGAGGATGAGGACATGACAGAGGCTGAGGACATGAACATAAAGGATATGATGAAGATCAGGATGAAGGATATCAGGGAAATAAAGCAGATGATGAAGAAGAGCGACATCGCGATAGAGGCCAAGGCCGACGCGGCATCGGCGAAGCAGAGTGCGCTCCAGAGCAACATCGCAATCGCCAGCTTGGAGGCGGACCTCGAAAAGTTGAAAGGCACAGCGGTCCCGACAGAGAATTTCAGCTATAATTTCAACCAATAAGATGTGATCGGGAGTGGGGGGGATACGGTAGCAGTCGTCGGTAGGGTGGGAGACTTGGATGAGCAGTCAGCGGAGGGATGGATGACAAACAAGCTCCAGGAGTTAAGCGGTCGCCCCCTACCCTTATCTACTACAAGGGGGAGTTCAAAGGCTCATCTTTGTAAAGTTTGACAGGGAGGAGGACGTAACCAAAGTCGTGAAGGAGATGAGCGGGAGCAACGAGAAAGCAGGAGGGAAAGAGGTCGGGGGCAAGCTTGACCGGCCAATCCTGGAGCGCGCCCAACTATCCGACCTTCTGGGTTTGCGGTGGCAATTTTTGGAATCGGGGTTCTCCAAGAGCGAGTTGAAGGTCGATAAAGCTACCATGATTTTGAAGGTGCGCCGGGTCCTGGTTCGCAGAATCAAAGTCGAGAAAAACCGCTTGGTGAACGATTGGGTGGACCCATCTTCTGATTGTGCCGCATGTTTCCCTAGATTTTCTGGTGTATAAGTGTGACCTTGCAGAGGACATCTCAGGGTGCTGGAGCTCCTGTGTTGGTGGAGGGGGGGAAGGGGGGCGGGCTTCTCGGAGCACAGGCGCTCTGGCTCACAAATTAAAGAAGGGCTCAGGGAACGCCCTACTCGGAGGCTCTGTTCGCCAGCGCGACCCCCAGAGAGGGCACGCGAACTGGCCAGCAGCTGTTCCCCTCGCACTGACCCGAGGGATTCGTCTTAATCAGCGAACCTCTTTTACGGGGCCACCTCGGAGCTCGTCCCGTTGAGCTTCGGGGTATGCCTCCTGCCCGCACCAGGAAAAGTATGGGGCGCGCGGCATATTACTTTATCGCAGGGGATTTTGCCAGACGCGCGCAAGGCACCAGTCTAGGTGTGTTGACGTTGACCCCATTATGCGGATGTCCTGTCCTGTCCTGCCTCCGCCCTCCTCCCTGACGTTTTCCCGTTGTGGGAAAATCTGGGTGGGGGGGTTTTACAGACTTTCGGCCTCGGGGGGCCCTCACCGGGCCCCCGCACCGCCCAAAAACGACCCAGGACGAAAAGCCACTCCCGCGGAAACCGCCCCGTCGCCGCCTCGTCGCCGCCGCGTCACCGCCCGTCGCCGCGGTTAGATTAACAACAAATGTTGAAGCGTGGGCCCTGGGTCGTCCTGGGTCGTTTTTGGGAAACTTTCGTAGAGTGGCCTCCGGGGTCGGGACAGGAGCTGAGCGTCGCAGGAGCTGAGACAGGAGCTGAGCGTCGCAGGAGGGAGCTGAGACAGGAGCTGAGACAGGAGCTGAGACAGGAGCTTTTTTTAGGGGGGCGGGACAGGAGCTGAGCGTCGCAGGAGGGCCCAGGAAAAACCCATTACGCCACGTAGATCGGAAACAACAAATGTTGAAGCGCGCTTTTCGATCGTTCACAACATAGATGGCACCACACATATTGCATCTATTGCACCACGTAGAATCACATATGGGGCCCATGCTAGCTAACATTCTGTTTGTTTGAACTGTTCCTGTTCTTGTCCACTGTTTCGGAAGGTGGTCGGCGGCCCAGCGCGGCGGCGAAGACGGCGTCGACGTCGGCACCGCCCTCCTGCTTCCGCCGCCCGCCCCCCTCTTGATCCCACCTGCCTGCGCCCTCCTGCGCCGCTCAGCTCCTGTCCCGCCCCCCTGCCGCCCCTCCCGGGGGCCGGCGGCTGCGAAGGCGCCGACGACGGCGACGACGACGACGACGACGACCTCCCGCCTGCAGGAGGAGCGTTCAGCAATGGCCCTTCCGCAGTGGCTCCAGTTCGGCAGCCCCGCAGATGACGAGCAGGCAAAGCCGGCAGAGCTGGCAGAACCAGCGGAGCCGGCAGAGTTGGCAGATCTGGCCGCTGGACCGCCCGCCCCCCCCGGCTTCGAGTTCCTGTGGGGCCGCCGCACCCGAGCGCGCCGGAATGGCGGCCGCCGGATCTGCCACCACGGGCGTCGACGATGCGTCGATTGAGCAAAGTTCTTGACCGTAGTCGTCATCCTGAAATTTTGAAAACGCACTGGGCCCAGCGCGCACCAGCTGCGGCACTGGGCGCGGCGGCGGCACTGGCTCTGTCCTGGATGGCTTCTCGCGGCTCGGCCCCCCACTGGTGCAGTTGGCCTCTCTAGGGGTCTCCTTGCGGCAGTGGGGCTTTTCGCGGCCTGCAGATCTGCGACCACCTGCGTCGACTGTACGTCGGGCGCTTTCTGTCGTTTTCACTGGTCCTCGGGTTTTTTTCATGGAAAGGGGGCCAGCCCAGGGTTCTGTTCTCTTTTAGATGTTTACCCCCCGGCCTCGATTTGAAGGAGGCCGGCGGAATTAGTATCGATAAGTTATGGGTGTGATAAAACCAATTGCTGTTTGAAATAATGCGTCTTGCGCGTGCCCGCTCGAGGCAAATTTGCCCCTTTATTTCGGATCCTCCATAAATAACGGGGTCCGGTCCGCAGGCACACGCTGTCGCATGTAAAAAACTGGGTGCTGCGCAGAGTCCGCGATAAAACACGAGGTCTGGAGGCTTTGAGCTTTGTCAGAAAATGGAAGAAAGCGTGATCGCTCGAGGATGACGCGCCCTGCGTGTCGAATATATGATAATGTCTCGAGCGAAACGCTTGTTTTGCAGAACTTGAGCTGCCTGGGCGCCCCAGGACGCCCAGGTGGTTCTGGGAGCCCGAGCACAACGTAATTGACTGGGGAACGTGGCCCTAGGAGGCGTGACGCAGCGTAATTCACAAGGGAGCGCGGCCCTGGAAGCGCAGGCGCAGCATAGTTTACCAGGGATCGTGGCGGGCGCAGTGTCATCTACAAGGGATCGGGGCCCTGGGAGCGCGGACACAACCTAATTTACAATGGATCGCGGCTCTGGGAGCGCGGACGCAGCGTAATTTGCAAGGGATCTTGGCCCTGGGGGGGCGGATACAGTGTCATTTGATGGGGAACGTGGCCCTGGGAGCGCGGACGCAGCGTAATTCACAAGGGAGCGCCGCCTTGGGAGCGCGGGCGCAGAGTAGTTTACGAGGGACCGTGGCCCAGGGAGAGCGGACGCAGTATAATTTGCGAGGGATCGTGGCCCTGGGAGCGTGGACTCAGCGTCAATAATTTACGAGGGACCTTGGCCCTGGGTCAGGGACGTCCCGTGGCACGTTCCCTGACGCGTTCCCTGCACGACCCCTGGTGCATCGCCTGGCACTTTCCGTGGCACGATCATTGGCACGTTCTGTAAGAGAGTTTGTTTTTTTTCCTCTGGCGGGTAACGCTTGTTACCCGGGCCCAACCCCCCTGGTAACGCTAACGATCGTACGTGTTTTGGGGGACGTGCCAAGGGGACGCGCTAAGCGCGTCCCCCCTTGGCACGTCCCGCGGTGCCTCCCCATGTCACGTCCCCTGGCACGTCCCCTGGCGCGTCCCTCGGCACGGTCCGCGCATCCCCCTGGCATGTCCCCCTCGCATCGCCCACTTGCATATGCAATTGAGGTCCTTAGCAGCAGTTCCATGCCTCGCAGTTCTCAATCCCTTCCTGGGTTCGTGGGTCGATCATGTTCTAGCGTCGGGATGCGTTCAAGCAGCTGCGCCTCGCCGAAAGCGTTCCGGGGTTGCCCGAATCGCTCCGAACGGCTGCCGGACATTCGAGTTCTTAAGGCCGAGTGACCCTTTGCCAGAGTGTCTTTAGGTATGGGCCCATTGGGGCCCCCCGATCGGTGAATGCGACGCGGCAGCAGTGGCTTGCGCGCTCTGGTTAGGCCTCCCCGTGCTTCTTAAAGCCGCGCGCCAAAAGCCACTCTTGCCTCACGCCTAGGGTGGCTCTTGCGCGTAGCTGGGTTCCAACCCTACTTCTGCGTGTCAAATCGGCGGCAGAATATCGGACACCTCTATCCAATTCATTTGTCAACAGGCATCTTTCAATTTCTGAACCCCTGCGGGTGCTCAAATTATTTTTACCTTCAGAGGGGTCCCTGTGTCGCTTGAGTCGTCTCGCTGATTTCCTTCGATCTTCTGAGAGGGCCAGCGTGTTCCGCACCGCTCACGTCGCCCATACCCAGGCCGCCCCTGAGCGGCGACATCTGATTTTGATTTTACCTCCGACTACTAGTTGCTATCCCAATATCCAACTGGACTTCTGCACAGTGATAAGGGACACCTGATGTAGGGTGCGAGTAGGAATGTGGTGAACTAGCCCGGGCTGTCGTCTGCTTGGTGATGCAGGGGTCCACCCGCTGCTCAGCAGCGGAGCGCTGCCAAACCCTAATGCGAAGAATTGGGAACACAAGAAGGAGGAAGCGACGCAGGGGGATACGGAGGAGGCGAAGTAGGAGAGATGATGATGATAGTGCTAGTTACTGATAAGGCTAGTAATTCGAGCAATACGAATAATACTTAGATGATAGCAATAGTACGAGTGTTAACAGTGATAGTATCATTCAGAAGAATATCATATCAGTTGAATACATAATGGTCATACTAACAAAATTGTTAATGATGATGCGGGTGAGGAGCATGATGACGACGCCGATTGTGATGAGGATACCCCTGCTGCTGCTGATGATGATGATGACGACGATGTTGATCATGACGATCATGACGATGCTGATGATGCAGATGATGAGTATGAACATGATGATTATGTTGGTGATGATGATGAGGAGGTCCATGATAACGATGATGATTAGGATACCAGTATTGTTGATGGCGGCGACGACGATGATGATCAGGAGGAGGATGAGGAGGATGACGATGATGATGCTGATGATGATGGTGATGATGCTGATGCAACATGTGATGATGCTGATGATGATGACAATGGGGATGATGATGATGATGATGCTGATGATGATGATGATGATGCTGATGATTATGATGTCGATTAATATGATGATGATGATGATGATGATGCTGATGATGATGATGATAATGATGATGCTGATGATGATCATGATGAGGATGATGAGGGTGCTGATGATAATGCTGGTGGTGATGATGATGTCGATGGTGATGCTAATGATGAGTGATGGTGGCGGTGGTGATGGTGATGATGAGGACGGTGCTGACGACGACGGCGATTACGGCGACGACGATGACGACGATGATGATGTTGATGATGCTGATGATGCTGCTGATGATGATGGTGATGATGATGCGGACGATGATGATAATAGGGAGTGTGATGGTGATCAGTCTTATCGTGTTTTTGTTGAAGATGGTTAGGATGCGGTTGATGCTGGTGGTGATGATGGTTATGATGGTTGTGGTGGCGATGATGCGTCGCAGTAGTAGGAAGAGTCGAAGGAGCAGCGAGGAGGAGGGCATAGGAGGTATAGGGGGAGAGTTCAAGAGGTAGAGGAGGAGGAGGAGCAGGAGGAGGAGGAGAAGAAGGATGATGATGATGATGATGATGATGATGATGATGATGAGGAGGAGGAGGAGGAGGAGGAGGAGGAGGAGGAGGAGGAAAAGAAGGGCGCCGAGCAGGAAGAAGTGCGCCGAGACGCGGCCGCGGGATCGGAGCACCCCTCGGGCGGGCGGCCAAGGGGGGGAGATATTGTCGGGAACTTTTGCTCAGCGTATCGCGCCGCCGGCTCGGGCCCACCACGCCTCGGCGCGACACGCTGTTCACGTCCCCGTCCCCGAGTGTCAATCGAGGAAGAATCAATTGCATGAACATAGGCTTTCGACTCTCCACGCGAGTTTCTTGAGTCGGCGCAGGGCCCCCCCGGGCGGCGTCTCCAGCGCTGCCTTTGGCGCTCCGCGCGCCAGGGAGAGGGTCCAGTGCTGATCCAAGGGATCAGCGAGGGCCCCCGAAAGTTTATGTTTATATCGTTGCTCGTCCCTCTCAACGGCCCGAGCCTTCCTCAGCCTGCCGCCCTCCGCCTTGGAGCGGAGCGACGGGCTGTTTGTTGGCACGGTGCTGCACGTCGACGGGGCCGCCGCGACACGCGAAGCGAGAGTCCCCGACCGCAGGGCTCCCTTCGGGGCCACTTCTCCGCCCGCAGCTCTCGATCGCCCTCCGTTTGCTGCCCCCCGTTGTTGTAGGTTCGCGCCGTGTCGACGCAGCAGACACCCTGGCGCGGGCGGTCAAGGCTGAACGCCGTCGGTGGCCCAGAATCAGACAGCCGTGCTCGTCCAAGGCGGAACGATCCACGCTGCCCGCATCAAGCACCAGTGCCCACGCTGCGACAAAATGCAGCTGCAGTAATACCCACCCGAGCCGCTCCACCCTCTGCGAGCCAGGCATGGGGACGTGGACCGCGCTTGCCGGGGCATCAGCAACGCTGTGCCGTCCGAAGAGCACTTCGACCTCCACCAGGGGGCGCCCTGCTGGGAGGGGGAGTGCTCGGGCCTAGGGCCATCTGGCTTACTGGCGGGAGGGAGTGGAATCTGAAGGGATGGGAGTGTCGGGGCGGACGAAAAGAGGGGAGGAGGAGGAGGAGGAGAAGGAGGAGGAGGAGGAGGAGGACGTCGGATCCGAGAAGGAGCTGGACATGCTTGGGGCTCGAGGAGGAAATAGGGAAAGGTGGGGCTGCGAAGTCTGCTGCTGGTGCAGCTGGTCTCGGCCCCGCCGCCATGGGCGCCTTCCTCGGTAAACTGGAACCTGACGGCGCCGGGAGGCGCCAGCGTAAGCACCTACGTCAGCTGATTTGCCAACCCCCTCGTTGCTACAAATCCCCATTGTTTCGTCGGGCCCGGGAGGTGAGCGGCGGCGAGAGTGTCCGTGCGATCGTCATCCAGATGCGCCGTCGCGCATGGCCGCCTCCGCCGCGGATGAGCGGGGGGTCCACGGCACCCGCTGCTGGGAACTTTGCCCTCCGTGGGTTCGCCTTAAGTTTGGAGGGTCCAGGTTTATATTCAGGGGCCGAGAAGCGCATCTTTTTCCAATCGCAAGCGAGCCCCGTGGCGAAAC